ATGAACCTTGCTATTCATATACTGTCCAGTAAAATTCAGAGTAATGATCACCATATAAAAGTTGCAAACGTTAAGAAAACCATTTACAAACCTCAAGGGCTTTTTTATGAGTTCCTCCAAGATCCTAACGAGATTTAGCAAGATATAAATAAAACAGTTAAACTACAACATAAAATTTACAGTCCATTACATGACTGTATAACACCCACAAACAGAGGCTTCAATGCCTACTTTTAGGGGGATAGGGAGAGGGCATGATCTCAAGCTAACTTAAGACAGGACCTTTGGTTTAAGTAATAAGGACATTAAATTTCTTTTTTAAGGATGTTCTTGTTCATGCTTTTTTTTTTGTGTTCTTAACAGATGCCTTCATTTGTGCACATATTTTTAATACAGATGTGATGTTTGCATGCTTAACTTGTTGGGCAAGAGAGGTGAATTAAAACTTTACATCAAAATCCCCACGTTAAAAAGATAAAAGATGCATCTATCCAAGACACTGTTATCTAAGAAAAGCATTCTCTTCCCTTACCTGAACATAACTTGACATAAACTTGTCTTTATCAAAGATTCCTCTTTTATTATAGCACTGGGCCAATAGATCTCTGTAAGTAATTGGAACAGTACTGTATTTTTAATCAACTTATTAACTGGTTAACTTGGCTTGTTTGATTGACTGACTACCTGTAAATGAGTGACAAATTATTGATCAGAATTACCTGACTGGCTGGCTGACTGCCTCATTAACAACTTACTTGTAGTACTAACTTGTCCTTTTTCCTTCCTTTTCCTTTGGCTGTCTGACCAACTGACTCACTCGCATTCATGAACAGAATGACTAACCAGGATGGCTTGACTGCTAGCTGTTTGACAGACCATGAACTACCTTTACTAATCTGACTTACTACCAAACTGACTACCCATCTAGCTACCTCCCTTATGGCTGGCTTTATTATTACTACAATCTGTAATTAATATTCTTTTCAAAATACCACTCACTCAATGTAACCTGCATCAATGTGGCTGTACTCAAGTTCTTCAGTATTTGAGACATCAGTAGGGTCAATAAACAACAAGACTTCCTTCATCTGATCAACAGAAAGGTTCTGCACATACTCTTCAGTGACAAAGCCTTTACCATCAGGATCTAAGTAATCAACTAGCTGCAATGAGATAAAAATTAAGAATCAACCTTTAGGTTAAAAAATTTTAACTTGAAATCAATTATTAATTGACCTCTAATGTATCCTAGCTTTCATCCATATGGATCCCAAGTTAGCAAATTATTGATTTCATGCATACTGGATATGTCGTAGCTAATTTTTTTATCTCAGATAATTTTTATTCTCTTGTTTTTGGGTATGGTAATGTAGCTAATGCATGCAGTTGAAACAAAAGAAAAAGAAAAATTTCCTGAAATTAAAAAATTAACTACAACAGATACCCAATGAAAAAAAGCACTTGGATTATCCTCATTTTTGCACTTGTCAGGCATGCAATATTAATATTATTTATCAGTTTAAACGATGACTAAAAATTGGGTGCAACAGCCATTTTCCTGTGGTTGAGAACACTTAGCTGCCTTTACTCTTGAGTGATTTTCGTAACATTATTGTCATGTTTCTTTTTTAAATAATATTGCAAGGTTCATCCCACCCCTGGTCAAAGAGAAAAAAAATTCATCAGTAGGGTTTTGATGAATTACCTGTTTTTGTCTTTCCCTTTCATCTTCCCTCATCACATCTCTTTTAACATCACTTTCACTATTAAGGTACTTTGCTATAAAATCATTCAACCATATTTTTCCCTCACTGTCAGCCAGCATCAACAGAAATCTCTTAACAATGTGGATATCCATGTGGCCTTGACTAAGATTGCCATGCCCAGAAAAGCGCCATAGCACCATCACTTGATTCATTGGTGTGAAGTCAATCTTTGCTTGGTCACAGCCTTGATCTGTAAAATGCTTCACTTGTGAAAACCAAATTGAAACAGCAGAATTCATGTGCCCCCAAGAGCGAACTTGATGCCAGTAACCTGGAATTAAGACAAATAAAATTTTGTTTCCTTTAATTATCCATTAGTCCCTGAAACCTTTCTACACTCATTTCTCCACTGAAATACTACAGTCACATCTTCATCATCGCCACTGAAATTTAATTTTATTAGTCCCTGGTGCTTCGTGTTTGCGTCCAGATGACTAGAAAGTTTCATTAATAGAAATCAATGCTGGGCACCCTGGATGTTTTTTTTTTTTTTTTAATATTGTGAAAGAATAGAGTTAATCCACTGTTGAATTCTGGTTCTCATTATAAAAGATCCAAAAATTAATATGAAGGTGATACTCTTGATATGACAGTATGATTTCAGTTGCTTGCTACACCCTTAATTTCCAGTTGTAATACAAGGGATCAAGTTATCTGAATCTCCTGAAAATATGATGAAATATAAACTTTTAAAGCAAACAGAGTGGAAGCTTAACTAAGGTAGAATTAATACTCTTGCATTAATTTAGTTAACAAGTAGATAAGTGTCTGAGTATGACAAGAACCTACTAATACTGTATTTAATTGAAAGTTTAAGCTCACCTCCAGGCATAAAGATGCAGTCACCTTTATTCATTGTTACTTTCGAGTAATGCACGTCGTTAATTAATGGAAACAATTCAAGGTCAACAGAATCAACATCAATCTCTGAATATCCTCCCCACTCAAATGCAGAATCTTCCGACATGTAAACAAGATTTGTCTGGTCTGGATGAACTAGTAGCCAATCTTTGGTACCATTAAAAACACAATGTATATTACTGTAAGGATCCTGATGAAGCTTTGTTTGGCCTCCACGGGCTGAAAGAAAAAGGTGAACCTCTTGGAGGGCTTCAACAAAAGAACCACATCTGCAAGGTAAAGAGAATTAAAGTTCAATAACTTATAAATTTATTGAGTGACCTTCAGCTTCCTTGCAATACAGCCACACATGTCAATCAAAACTTACAGTGGTATAGACTCACAAAAGCAAAACATTTTCTTGACTTTTTCACAGTATCAACCACATGCACGGTCAAACAGGAGATGCATAAACTCGCACAAATTTTATATATTTTGGAACCCCATGACTACTAGATTAACTGTGTTTAACCAACTGCCTCCCTTAAGTGGAAGGTGGGTGCCTGGGATACCCAAGGGCTTCCACTGTGGCCAGCCAGCCCCCAGATAGAATACTGCCCCCATGGCTGGCAAATCCCTGAAACCAAGCCATGAGCCCCCATTCCAGGCACCTATCACACTGATGAAACATTTAATAAGGGATGGGAGGGGGGAAAACGCTAAATGAACCACTCCACAGAAAATTGCACAAATGCTCAATGAGGAACTCGCACATCCTAGCAGCTAGTGTACAAAGCTATCACGTACCATGTGAGCATGCACTCATGGGATTGACCACTGGATGCCCACTAATTCGTGGGCTGCTTGGCCGCTAAGCTTGTAGACCACTTGACCATTTAACTGTTGGACCACTAAGCTTGTGGATGGCTAAACCGCTAAGCTTGTGAACCGCTTGACCGCCAAGCTTATGAACCGCTTGACCGCTAAGCTTGTGGACTGCTTGACCACTAAGCTCTTCATGGTTAACTTTAAAGTTAAATTACATTTTAATAACCAAATAAACAGTTTGATTTATGTCATCAGCAAGCAATTTGTGTCATTGAGATGCACATGTCCCAAGGAGCAAGGATGGCTGTATATTCACAAGCTTAGTAAAGGTTGGAACTTGGTGAAAGTTACCTTAAACATGCTGGAATTCCTATGTCTCTTTCCATAGGCTGAGGAACCTGTGAGATCACATAAGCATCTCTTGTCTGGTAGTTTTGTATAAAATGTCTGACGGTGTCACGACCTAGAATTCCTGTTTCTCCAGATGGTATTCTGTCATTACTTTCAGCTCGTGATTCAAGCCGCACAGTCAGATTTCCATATTCAGAAATAAGAAATTCTTCTGTCCATAATTCGTATGCCCTGGGATAACAATTCAACATTAAAAATGAAAAATGCAATTCACACTTAACCCCTTCCAGTATAATGCTGTTGTTAGCAATTTCAAAACAGGAAAGACAACGTCTGCTTTAAAAAAATACTTATTATCTTGCCTTTAGGCTATACATAACTGTGCTTGCAATAATTTTTGGCAACATACCCATTGCAAATCTTTTTAAACAGGGTTGAAACAATTGAAGGGCTATTAATTATTTACTCCCACAATAAAATTCATTATAAATTGTAGTTGATTGGAAGTCACTAGAATTTTTTTTCAGACACCCCTAAAAATATAATACATCACAATCCGCTCTTTAAAAGTTGATATCAGGTAACACAAATATTCATTTTTAAAGTGGCCTATTTTTAATAATTGTATTTAATACTAAGAGGCCAATTTCTTACTGTATCATTGCCATAAACATGAAAATATGCATGCCATATATTTCAAGAAGAGCCTCATCAAGTAATGAAAACAATTGCCTTAAAGTATGAAGAACTTTTAGGTGTTAAACCCCCTTTGAAAACAAAACAGCTTTTCAACCATATTTTTCCCTCACTGTCAGCCAGCATCAACAGAAATCTCTTAACAATGTGGATATCCATGTGGCCTTGACTAAGATTGCCATGCCCAGAAAAGCGCCATAGCACCATCACTTGATTCATTGGTGTGAAGTCAATCTTTGCTTGGTCACAGCCTTGATCTGTAAAATGCTTCACTTGTGAAAACCAAATTGAAACAGCAGAATTCATGTGCCCCCAAGAGCGAACTTGATGCCAGTAACCTGGAATTAAGACAAATAAAATTTTGTTTCCTTTAATTATCCATTAGTCCCTGAAACCTTTCTACACTCATTTCTCCACTGAAATACTACAGTCACATCTTCATCATCGCCACTGAAATTTAATTTTATTAGTCCCTGGTGCTTCGTGTTTGCGTCCAGATGACTAGAAAGTTTCATTAATAGAAATCAATGCTGGGCACCCTGGATGTTTTTTTTTTTTTTTTAATATTGTGAAAGAATAGAGTTAATCCACTGTTGAATTCTGGTTCTCATTATAAAAGATCCAAAAATTAATATGAAGGTGATACTCTTGATATGACAGTATGATTTCAGTTGCTTGCTACACCCTTAATTTCCAGTTGTAATACAAGGGATCAAGTTATCTGAATCTCCTGAAAATATGATGAAATATAAACTTTTAAAGCAAACAGAGTGGAAGCTTAACTAAGGTAGAATTAATACTCTTGCATTAATTTAGTTAACAAGTAGATAAGTGTCTGAGTATGACAAGAACCTACTAATACTGTATTTAATTGAAAGTTTAAGCTCACCTCCAGGCATAAAGATGCAGTCACCTTTATTCATTGTTACTTTCGAGTAATGCACGTCGTTAATTAATGGAAACAATTCAAGGTCAACAGAATCAACATCAATCTCTGAATATCCTCCCCACTCAAATGCAGAATCTTCCGACATGTAAACAAGATTTGTCTGGTCTGGATGAACTAGTAGCCAATCTTTGGTACCATTAAAAACACAATGTATATTACTGTAAGGATCCTGATGAAGCTTTGTTTGGCCTCCACGGGCTGAAAGAAAAAGGTGAACCTCTTGGAGGGCTTCAACAAAAGAACCACATCTGCAAGGTAAAGAGAATTAAAGTTCAATAACTTATAAATTTATTGAGTGACCTTCAGCTTCCTTGCAATACAGCCACACATGTCAATCAAAACTTACAGTGGTATAGACTCACAAAAGCAAAACATTTTCTTGACTTTTTCACAGTATCAACCACATGCACGGTCAAACAGGAGATGCATAAACTCGCACAAATTTTATATATTTTGGAACCCCATGACTACTAGATTAACTGTGTTTAACCAACTGCCTCCCTTAAGTGGAAGGTGGGTGCCTGGGATACCCAAGGGCTTCCACTGTGGCCAGCCAGCCCCCAGATAGAATACTGCCCCCATGGCTGGCAAATCCCTGAAACCAAGCCATGAGCCCCCATTCCAGGCACCTATCACACTGATGAAACATTTAATAAGGGATGGGAGGGGGGAAAACGCTAAATGAACCACTCCACAGAAAATTGCACAAATGCTCAATGAGGAACTCGCACATCCTAGCAGCTAGTGTACAAAGCTATCACGTACCATGTGAGCATGCACTCATGGGATTGACCACTGGATGCCCACTAATTCGTGGGCTGCTTGGCCGCTAAGCTTGTAGACCACTTGACCATTTAACTGTTGGACCACTAAGCTTGTGGATGGCTAAACCGCTAAGCTTGTGAACCGCTTGACCGCCAAGCTTATGAACCGCTTGACCGCTAAGCTTGTGGACTGCTTGACCACTAAGCTCTTCATGGTTAACTTTAAAGTTAAATTACATTTTAATAACCAAATAAACAGTTTGATTTATGTCATCAGCAAGCAATTTGTGTCATTGAGATGCACATGTCCCAAGGAGCAAGGATGGCTGTATATTCACAAGCTTAGTAAAGGTTGGAACTTGGTGAAAGTTACCTTAAACATGCTGGAATTCCTATGTCTCTTTCCATAGGCTGAGGAACCTGTGAGATCACATAAGCATCTCTTGTCTGGTAGTTTTGTATAAAATGTCTGACGGTGTCACGACCTAGAATTCCTGTTTCTCCAGATGGTATTCTGTCATTACTTTCAGCTCGTGATTCAAGCCGCACAGTCAGATTTCCATATTCAGAAATAAGAAATTCTTCTGTCCATAATTCGTATGCCCTGGGATAACAATTCAACATTAAAAATGAAAAATGCAATTCACACTTAACCCCTTCCAGTATAATGCTGTTGTTAGCAATTTCAAAACAGGAAAGACAACGTCTGCTTTAAAAAAATACTTATTATCTTGCCTTTAGGCTATACATAACTGTGCTTGCAATAATTTTTGGCAACATACCCATTGCAAATCTTTTTAAACAGGGTTGAAACAATTGAAGGGCTATTAATTATTTACTCCCACAATAAAATTCATTATAAATTGTAGTTGATTGGAAGTCACTAGAATTTTTTTTCAGACACCCCTAAAAATATAATACATCACAATCCGCTCTTTAAAAGTTGATATCAGGTAACACAAATATTCATTTTTAAAGTGGCCTATTTTTAATAATTGTATTTAATACTAAGAGGCCAATTTCTTACTGTATCATTGCCATAAACATGAAAATATGCATGCCATATATTTCAAGAAGAGCCTCATCAAGTAATGAAAACAATTGCCTTAAAGTATGAAGAACTTTTAGGTGTTAAACCCCCTTTGAAAACAAAACAGCTGTCATACAACCAACACCATTTTCACAATCAAATATCTGCATGAACAGTAATTATACTTACAGCTGTTAAAACTTGCCTTAGGGAAAATCCTTTGTTTTTTCCAAACAAGAAAAAAAATGATAAATGAAAAAAAAGCAACTTGTTTATATAAATCGTTATAAGCTCATTCTTTTTCTATAACCATACAAAAAACTTCACAGTGCAGAAATCGAAATAAAATAGTTCTAACTAATTTAAGTACTTATTAAAATAATGCTAACTATACTCGAGCTATTTAATAATAAATGCAATCTTATTAAATAGAAGTTAAAAAATTCATAAGCCCAACTTACCAATGCACAAAGGCACACTTAAATATTTGCAACCTTATAGAACTGAGACTCGATTGCAAACGTTACGGGAAAACGAATAAACGTTTATAAAATTATACCTGGAATGTTTTGCTGCCCCTCTTAACACAACAGGTCTTTTTTTCGAGACGTATTTTTCCCAAAACTCTATCGGATGCGGTACAGTTTGAAGCTCTTCTGTGACAACATCGGGTTCTCGATGAGCGCCGAATGGTTTCTGGTGCCCATCCAAACAAACAGACGGGCTCTTGAATATCCAATAAAAGCAAAATGCACAATTCAGTAAACTTCTTCTCAGCATTTCACCTGCTCCGGTTTCAAAAGGTCAATATTTTGACTTAATCAGACAGGTGCTTAAACAACTGCCGAAGTCGGCTGGAAGTGAGCAAAGCGCAGCGGTGATGTGAAGATTGGGTTGACTGTGCTGTTCGAACCCAGGTTTCATCGGAGCTACCCTCCAAAATGGCCTCCAGACGGTCGGAGATTTATATCTCTGTGTTTATTTTACTTCTTTTCTACTTTTCTGGCATAGATTGTGTCACTCCCTACGCCGATATTGTGCAGTATAAAGAGGAGTACACCTTGCCGGATTTACCTTACAGTTATGATGCTCTTGAACCGTTCATTGACGAAGAGACAATGCGTGTTCACCATTTGGGTCATCATGCGGCCTACACAAAGAAACTGAATGCGGCCTTGAAAAGCTATCGTGAATCGGTATGTGAAAGAGAATAACGTGTTGTCGCATTATATGTTTTGTCGATAGTTCTTGTTGGAACGTTTATGATGCAGATGAAAATATCCTTGTGGAGATAGCATTTTTAAATGGGCCAATCTGCAGCGCATTTAGCCCACCCCTCCCTACTCCCCCCACCCCACCTGTATCCACTCTCCCCTATTATTACAGCGCTTAAGCAAAGGGTTTTTGAGTGATGCAGCTCAACTGGAAATGAGTCCTTTTCCCAAAAATATGTCTTCTATTGCTGAGTCGTCTGCCTCTTATATAAGAGACAATAATGTGCCTGAAAAATGTTGGCCAAACCACTGCCCAAGCATGCAAAAAGTCAACTTCCTGTTGATCAATAACTGACTGACTGATCTGTATCGTGCAAAAACACATTTGTTTAAGGGACCTATGTATTGACGACATCAGGGCAGTGCACAGCTGCAGGATTGGCTTCTCAGGAGAAAACAATAAAAAACATCAGTAACAATACATGTACATCCTAACCAAAAATTATTAAGAGCTTCATGCTATCAAAGATCCAGTAAAGATTAGAGGTTTTTAAAGGGCTGTATACTGTCTGGAGAGATAAGGGAAAGGTAGGGGGACTTTATTTTTAAGGCACTGAAAATTCCAGGGGAAAGGGAGGGGTATTGGTATCTTTGATCAATCAACAATAATGATCACCTGTCTCTGAAGGGGAAAAAGTGTCAGCACTTTTCTCTTTTTTTTTCCCAAGGGGTATAATTCCTTTAAGGGGTACAAAAGATGAAATTGACCCAAAGAAAGGTACATGTAATTGTATGATAACAAAAAAGACAATGCCTTGAAGCATTATTTGATATAAGGTGACCAATCAAGACTAAGCAAACCCTCTATTACAATTTCCATTTTAGAACTCAAAATTTAATGGAAGCCTTCCTTCCCAGATTTTTTTTTTTTATTTTAATCATGTCACATTCTTAAACCCCTAAAAACACCTTAAAACATCTGTCTACAAAGATGCTAAGATGATACATTTTACATTTTTTGATAACATATTATTTTAATAGTGCAGAGTTAACTGTTACAAATAAATTTTCAGGGCACTCGGTCATCAGTAGTTTCAAAGTCCATCATAGGAATGTTACATTTTGCCAGCTTTATACCATATGACTGGAGGGAAAAAATAAAAAACAATGGTGGAGGGTGAGTCATTGATAGTCTTTGTTTTATATTTGGATGTTAAAAGTAGGTTTTAACCTTCTTCTAACCAGGAACAGCGGAAACTTCCAGAATAATAAAAATGAGCTGTTCATTCTTCAGTCCTGCAGGCAAGCTTTTTCTCCATCTCCCATGCATGGCCATTGCACCTTGTTTTGCTTATGATTCACCACTCACATTTTCTCAAATGAAAAGCATGCTTGACACAAGCTTTTTTTGTGTAGTCTTGTAATAAAGTAGGTTTCCTGGTAAACTGGGATCAATCAAGCCGCAATTCTCAATCCATGATCTTTGATCTTGTACATGTACTAAACTACTCTAGGAAACCTAGTAATGTATCAGTAAAAGTGCATGATTCGTGTTGCTGATACACTGTCACTGAATGTCTGGAGTTTAGTAAGTATGACTAATTGCTGAAAAATTTGTTAGCCATTGCATAACTTTTGTAGCAGCAGGGTTAGCTCAGTTGTTGGAGCCAGGAGGGCTTGACTGCAGAGTGGGAAGTCACGAGCTCAATTCCCAGGGCCGGACTAACTCTCTCAAAACGACCATATAAAGTGGTGGTCTTGTCTTCAGTAGGGAACTTACTGCAAATGACCTAATAGATGCCCACTTCTAAATAAACACCTCTTATCTAACAAACACCCCCTCTATGCTGTTATTGTATTAGATGCCCCTCTCTAAATGTCCCCTGTCTTATAGGCACCCCCTATAACAATTACTCCAAAGTACTAAGAAATAACAGTTTCTTACTTGATTAACAAGGCATTGCGTATTTCATCTTACTCGACGTAAAGTTCAAAGTAAGAATAGACAAACAATGGCTGCAACACAATAACCCTGAACGAGGATCCTGACATCGACGTTGGGATTTGAAAGAGTGATATTGATCTCTAGATGGCTTAGATGTCTCAATTGATGGAGTGAATATTCCTCTATTTTAAAACTCTTTTGATGTTTTTGCTGAAAGCATATTAGTTTGTTGAGCCCGTTACAGTTATCAGAATCAATGCCTGTCTCTTTTAACGCGTCCTATCTATTAAACACCCCAGCTTGGACCCGTTAAATTAAATAGACACCCCAGACATTTATTACATCATTTACAGTAAATATGGTCACTTGTAGTGCCCTCAATACCTTAAGACTAAGAATTTAATACATTGGCACTCAATTAGTGCAATTTAACGGTAACAATCTTGCATGTTTCTGTGTCAGTTTGTGCTTATTTGTGTATTTATGAGCTTCAGTGCCAAATTAGTTGAAGTTGCTAAGTGCTTTTCTTCTCCTGTATAAGCAGATTCCAGCTGCAAGTTAAGCAACAATACTAGTTACAGTAGGTTTGTTTGGGCCACAGGAGGGCATGGGTCAGGAGGATAGCTTAACCAAGCAGCTACTTGCAAATTAATGATGTCACTTTTTCTGAGGTGTCTGTCTTATAGAGGTGTCCATTATTAGCGAGTTAACTGACTGTATATTATTTGTTTCTTTTAAGGTATGTTAATCATGCTTTATATTGGTCAATCATGTCTCCAAACCCAAATAATGAAGAGAGAAGACCCGCTGGCAGATTGGCCCAGCTGATTGACGAGACTTTTGGCAGTTTCTCTAACTTTCAGCAATCTTTTGAGAATAATGCTCTTAACATTTTTGGGTCAGGTTACACATGGCTATGCTTTGACAGAGAACATGAGGGCCTTAAAATCCTTGGCACATCAAATCAAGACAGCCCTTTTATGATGGAAGGGCGGTACCCCATCCTGGTGATTGATGTCTGGGAACATGCCTATTATCTGAAACACCAAAATCGCAGAGCACAGTATGTGCAGGGATTTTGGAAGGTCATAAACTGGGATGCTGTGAGCCAACTGCTGGAATTTTGGCCAAAACAAGCAAGGCATGATGAGCTGTGAATGTCACTGTGATGGTTAATGTTTTATTCAGAAACCAGCAGCCATGCTTTGAACTGTTTTGATGATAGTCCTAAAATGTAAAAGCTATGTCAACAGTACCCCGCGTGGCAAACATTGAAAGGGGGGGGGGGGAGAAAGAAGGGAGGGGAACCTTTGGTGGCCAGGGTCCTGTCTCTCCAAATTTCCAGTAATTAGCAGGCTTTGAACGCTTTTATACATTTTTTTTGATCGAGATTTCAATAGTTTTGTAGATAATAATAAAGCTATAAGTTTACAAAACAAAATGGACTATTTTAATTGCTAGGTCCCATGCTTTAATTCGTTAGATTTTGACTTACATAATTTTGGCGAAACAGGGAAGGGCTTGAGTATTTGATATGTTCCTTTAGTTTATTATGTTTTATTCCAAAAACCAAAAGCAAGTTTTTAAGTTTTTTGAGTGTTTGCCTGAAAAGGAAAAAGATTGTCAAAAGGTCCCCGCCGGGCAAAAATGTAAAGGGGGGGGGGGGAGAAAGAAGGGAGGGGAACCTTTGGTGGCCAGGGTCCTGTCTCTCCAAATTTCCAGTAATTAGCAGGCTTGGAACGCTTTTATACATTTTTTATGATCGAGATTTCAATAGTTTTGTAGATAATAATAAAGCTATAAGTTTACAAAACAAAATGGACTATTTTAATTGCTAGGTCCCATGCTTTAATTCGTTAGATTTTGACTTACATATATGACTTCGAGCCCCAAAAGTTACAGGTACGTTCGAGAAACGGATCCCTTGGGTCAATTGAATGGATCTGTTGTTCTCTGACCGTATCAGCGCTTTGAAAAAAAATGTGTGAATACATTCCTATATTTGTAACCGCAGTGTTTGTGCTTTATTACAATCGATTAGTAAGTGTAATTTACGAGTTTAGCTGTTGTTTTCAAGCTCTAAAACAATGGCTACACTTGCAAGTCACACATTTGGAATACAAAAGTGCTTTTAGACCCTGTTTACATGGAGTGGGGGACCCCGGTTTAGTGGGGTAGGTTTCTTTTGTTTTGTGTCCCCCAGAGCGTGAAAACAAAAGAAACCAACCCCACTAGACTGGGGTCCCCCACTCCATGTAAACAGGCCCTTAAAGCTCACACAGTCTTGCAGCGTTTTGTAGAACACGTTCTTGAATTGTGGAAGGAATCCCTCCAAGGTCCCTGGAGATGAAATTCTCGTTCAGAAAAGAAAAAAGGCCAATGGTTAAAGTGAAGTTAACAACTTGAGTTAACTTGCAAAAAATGCGCGATAGACGTGAAAAGTTAAGACGGACATTTATATGAGGATATTTCAAAAGAACCAGTTTTCCCCCGGTGCCTAACTGAAGTCCAGGGGCCAGTTTCTCGAAAGTCCCGATAATAAACGGGCTGTTCCCAGGGTCTCTCTCCTACCCGTGCTCTCTCGCTCCGTAGGAACGGGTAGGAGAGAACCCTGGGAACGAGGTTGGCCATAAAGCTGCTGTTGTTTACTTTCAAAATAGACAATAACAGTATAAAACTATCAATCAACAGAATCAAATGGACTGGATTATTAGAGAGATTAAGATTCACGTTTACGCGCCAAACGGCAAACGTCAGATTCATGTTGAGATTGTCTCAGAATAGAAAATAAGCAGATAAAAACTGTCCAGAACAATTAGTATGGAAAAAACTGGCGTGAAGCTACTTATTTTTTGGTAGAAGTAGTAAAAAGTAAACGAAAATTACGGGGAAAACCTGGTCACGTGGTACAAATTCACGTTTGCCGTTTGGCGTAAAAGTGAATCTTAATCTCTCTATTGACTAGCTAGGGCCCGCGCTTTTATTCTCAAGGAGCTCGCACCAGTAGTTTAAAAGGTAGATAGTGCTATCCGCCGGATAAATCATTATCCACTGGATAGCACCATTGGTTTCCCTAATACTCGTCCACTGGAATAGTTATTTATCCGGTGGATAGCGATACCCCACGTTTGAACAACTGTGACCAGATTTTGATTTGAATATTTAGCTCAGGGCCCGAAAAGTAACTGGGACTTTTAAGAAAATGGCCCGGTTGCATAAAGAAATTTCCGCTTAATTTACGTTCTTCTCATTTTTCTGAAGAATTTTCTCTTGCTCACTTTGTGTTTGTTATTTTTCGTTTATCCGTCCTGTTCCGAGTTACCCGTTTATAATACAAGAGACTTCCTTGAAACGAAGGAATTCGAAATGCTGCAGAAAATTCATTTGCAATGACTTAATCTGTGAAAGGTTTGAACCCAGGAGTCATTTCAAAAGGTTGAGTTTGATCGTCCGAGTGAACGTAGTCCTGAATAGGACTGTTGTTGTTGACAGTGACGGACGTTTCGACGACCTGTGCGGTAGTCATCTTCAGAGTCAATCTGAAGTCAGCGGTAGTCATCTTCAGAGTTAATCTTGAGTCTCTTTATCAGCCGAGAACTCCAATTCTTTTTATTCCATTTTTAAGTTTTGCTCATCTGCAGGGCCGACTGCGAACAGAAAGAAAAATTAAAGTTTTAAATGATCTTGATGATTTCACTTGGTCACTAAAGTAACACTTTCCTTCCGATTCCTCCATTTAATAATAAATGTTATGTAGCCGCATGTTTTAGCCGCACCTGACAGTAGTTGCCTTCGTTGTAAGGTCTTGTAAATATGGCGGAAAATAAATCAGTTACGTTGGAAAAGAGCTATTTATATCAAAATGAGCATTACAGAGTGGTGGTACTAGCTTTTTCTTTTCCAAACTTCACCTTGAATTAAAAAAGATTTTGTGGCTGCATTATAATTAGTTTACTGTATAATTTTCGCCATGTAAAAACGGGCCTATTCATCCTTTCCAAAACGAAGGGTACGTTTTCAGCCAAAATCCTCAACTGTAAAAATCCCTTTTTATCTTAAATTATTTTTATTGGACAAAAAAATATAATTTCCGCTTAATCATAATTTAGTGAGCTTTCAAATGATTTTGCGAAAAGAAAGCTAACTTTGCATAAAACAGTGAAGTCCTTTGTCTCCAGGAAACGCTTTTCCTCGCGTTATGAATGTTTAAGTTTGCCAACACTGCCGCTGAATTTTAATTCCATGTCCACGTTTGCCCTTTTTAGCTGGGCATCGCTCTACGTGGAAGATATTCAAATTCATTCATTATAGACTACCAGTAAAGCTTCATTTCATTTAGCTTACGTATCGCCAGCGTGCAAAGTGTCGCTCGCTAAAAGTTTTTTTCAATACACAGGATCCTACCGAAATGTCCTCCTTTTTCCTCCGCGGTTTTGCATTTTTCCTTTTTTGCGCTTTTGTTCAAGCCGGAGAACAAGACAGAGATCATTTATCCGTGGGAATTATGATCAAGCCAGAGAACTGTCCGAGGGAAACGAAAGATGGAGACCTGTTAACAGTGAGGTTCAATAATACTCTTATTGATCAAACGCCAGTTCTACCAACGAGGTGAGTTAT